TTTTATTGTGAACTAAATACTATGTTACACTATTTTGTAGTACAACAACACTTATACAGAACGGTTTTATGGTATTAAAACTACTTTTCAGTTAGAATAGAAAATATTGGATGTTTTGGAGCAATAAACATTATTACTATTTCAAGAAACAAACATCAAACTTCTGAACAAAAAAAGTTATGCTCTCACCAACTTAAATGTTGATACTCTCTTTTTCAAATCACTTGTATTCTCAGGGAACCAGTAGACAGGTACATCCCCGAGATTTTTAAGAAGACAGAGCAGTATAGAGTCATGTCTTCTATCTTTTGTTGCATAACTTTTGATGTCATATATACAATGACTGAATACATATGTAAAACGTATACATTATTAATGCAATGGTTGTTGTACTTTGATTACTATGATGCATGTGATGTGATACTTAACATGAAGTCATCTACCCCCGGACGTTTCCACCGCTCCGGTTTGGGGGTGTGACACAGTTAGACTGAAGGCTCTGTATGCATGTTGTATGTTGATGTTGTTATGATTATGTATTGTGTTGGTACTCTGGGGGAAATTTAATAAGCTTTGGCTTACAATTTTGGGTTATGTTTCAGATACTTCAGACGATCGTGGGAACGCGAAGACGTGACCGTACTCATTCTCCTGTTTTGATTTATGATTTCGGGAAATTCTAGCATGGAACATGTTTTGAAAACTATGTTGTAAACAATTTACGATTTGTGGGTTGATTTTAATAGTTTAAAACTTTCATGAATTTTTGGATGTTACAAGGGCTCATTATAAAGATTAGTTGAATCTATCTACAAACCATAGATCTGGTTTTTCTCACTTCAAAATAGTTTTAAGTATGGTTTTACATATGCAATAATACCTTTTGGCTTTCAAAGTTCTTTAAAGTTTCATTAAAGGTTCTTCAAAATAGTTTTTTCTCATTTTAATACCTTTTGGCAATTCATGTACTATATTATCATCTGTAAGAATCTTGTATTCAAAATTCAAGCTGGAATACAATTATTATTTGTTTATTATTGTACTTGTGCTATATATTTAGTTTACATGTGATCTTTGAACTAAGTCGCACAGCCTGACAGGTTTCGCCGCGCTTCGGCCAAGGGTGTGACATGGTCGCTCAAGAATCATGAGAAAATTCCAAACATCTAACCCTAATAAGATAAAAATTAAATTTTCCATATATGACATCTTGGCCCCTCAAATCATATCAAGCCATTTATAGTTAGAAATTTCTTAAATAACCCCACAGTTCTATGTATAAATTAACAACCTTATTACATTATCACTAATAAAAATTTATATTCAGCTTACAAAAAATTAACTTTGTTGACGAATGGAAATTTTGGGTGGTTACAATATCAAATACTTAAATAAATCTTTCTAACATGTAAAAGAGGCTCTGATCCCACCGATGAGTTTTGGGAAGCTAACAATGATTTCTTTTTTAATTAAAACACTTTTAACGGCAAATGAAAGCAATTTAATATAGCTAGTTTATATTAGGAGAATATATTTTGTAAGAGGGAGGTTGGAAAGTAACCTCTCATATCTTTCTAAAATCTACAACCATGAGTGATGATAAGGGTTATGTGATGTTTCCAAGTCATTAAACATTATCTCATAAGTGTACAATATATATATATATATATATATATATATATATATATATATATATATATATATATATATATATATATATATATATATGAAGTCCTAAAGGTCCAGATACTTGTACACAACATATTAAATCATTCTATATGATTAATGTCTAGTTATTCAGTGTAGAAATATTATTTTCATATCCCAAATCAATTACATGAGTTGAATTTATTTATTAATAATAAATATTCAGTAAGTGATAACTTGTTAAATGTGTGACCCTATATGATCACATGTTATTGACAAGCACAATTCTAAAGTGATTCTAGAGCTCATATATCCAACAACATCCAACTTGCACAAGCAATAGACAAATGCCCACAACAACACAAAAAGAGTGCCTAATGTTGTTTAATATAGTAGTTGCCTAACATTTAATATTTTAAACAAAATTGGGTGTACTTTATGCCGAATTTCCAGGTGTTACAAAGTACTAAATGATTGGTTTTTGGGAGCTAAAAGCGATGTTTTTATATAACTCTTATTTATGGCAAACGAAAGCGATTTAAAAAAAAATTTAAGGCCATTTTATACAAGACCATAAACGATACAAATATGTGAAATAGAAAGATTATGAACAACAAATAGGATGTTTAGAAGTTAACATTTGAAGACTTTGATCACTCTTGACAATTAGGGAGTTGATGAAGATGGAAAAAACTTTACTTATAGTTTCTCTATAATGTATCCACCAACAAGATAAGTCATCAATAATGCTAGTTATTTAAAGTAAAATAATTCTTAAGCCTTTAAGAACTTATCTCAAATAAGTCTTAAAGGAGAAGAGCTTCATAAGCACACATATTTTCCACTAGTCTACTTTTGGAGAGTAAGAGAGGGGAGGGAATACATACCCATGTGTATGGAGAGAAAGAGAGTAAAAATAAAAAAGTAGCCTCTAAATGAAATTATTACTCTTACACAAGTCAAAGACACAAAGATGTAGAAACATTTATTGTGTCAGACGGAGGTTGCCATACTCTCAAAACTGACAACCCATGTATGGAGAAGGGAGGGATGGCGAGGTGTCTTACACATTATCCAACAAAACTAATGTACATAATATGTCTAGTGGAATCCTAATCGTCAAAAGGTGTACATGGCTTATGAAATAATACCATATGGTATAATAATTAATCTATATTCAATTGAATTATTATTTTCATAAAACAATAATTCTCTAATTAAACACAAGAGTTGAATTTATTTATTAATAATAAATATTCAGTACATAACAACTTACTAAATATGTGCTCATGTATGATCATATATTATTAACAAACATCACTGTATAACAATTCTTAAGCATATAAATCCAACACTGAGAACTAGTGTAGGAACTGAAACCAACTAACAAGGAGCCATAACTGGAACACCATATAGCGGTCCAATTTTTGGTCCATGTGATGCATGCAAATTGATTTTTTAGATTTTCGGTTCGCAGTTTGGGTCTCACCCGATGTGTTGCTCAACCCTACTTACGAGATTGTGAGCCTTAATTAAATATTTTTTAGTTGTTATGCCCGTATATATGATGGTTATGAAATTGATTTCTTTTGTTACCTTCAAGTGACATTTTTCAATCTTTATTTTCATTTTCATCTTTTGTTTTCATATTGTAGTGGGAAAACTTGGAATATGGTTTCAATTTTATTGATTATGTGGAAGTAAGTTGCTGTAGGTCGTAACCTTGCTTATAATGTAAAATGGAAATATTATATAATAATTAGTTTGGTAACGCAAATCTGATTTTTATTCCAATTATTATTATTATTTTATATTTTCTTAGAGCCAAAATAAGCAGATTTAGAAAATAATAATATTAATAATAAGGCAAGGCGTTTCCACATTACCGGTTGTTTAGGGTAAATAATATATTTGCCGTTTCAGGAAAAAAAAAATTACCTACCTACTTCTAACTTTTTTTTTTTTTCAGTTTACTTAAAACTGTAAAATAATTGCTTCAAAAATAATAAATACAATTTGGTGTGGTTATAATTTAACAATAAATATTTTGGTTTCTTTTTTAGCATCAATAAATTCTTCAATATACATTGTGAAATTATATTTCTAACGTATATGTTATTCGGGAACAAATTTCTGTTTACCCATGAGTACAACTTTTATTCATTTACCCAATAGTAGTTATAGGTTTTGTGAACAATAAATTATAAAGAATTGGAGTTATATGTTTATATAGCATTAAAATTTATGAACAAGTTAATCAAGGTCAATTATGTCATTCTTTCGTATTTATATTTCCGACATACAACTTATGAATATCAAGTATGCTGGCATTACCACTAAATTAAAATAAACTTATTTACACTTTCGTTGGAGAATGTGTAACACCATATTTGACAAATATCTTTCCAAGAGACTCCATTAAGCAAACCTGATACTTAAAGGGATTAGTCTCATTAAGCAAACTTGATACTTAAAGGCATTGTGATGTTTTCTCTTCATGTTACTTTACTCGTTTTACCAATAGAGATGACATACTTATTTTTTTACTGGTAACGACAACATAATTTTTTTTGTAAGCAATAATAACAAAACATTTACATTTTTATCTGTTTAATATAGCAACATAATAATTTTATTAACCATTAATAGAAACATTTATTCTTTTAGCCAATAATAGCAATGTACTAATCCATTTCATCAATAATAGCAACATAATTTTCCTTTTAGCTGATAATAGCAACGTACTTATTCAAGTCACTATTATTGCACCATGTAATATATCATCAATTGTATAAACACTTACATTATACAAACAATTAGTTATACGAAGAATTAGGATGCCTATGTGCTAATTTGGAAGCCGATCGTTCAAACAAATCGGGCACCACGACCTTAACAACGCCACACATAAAGAGTCGATGCAAGGGAGTTCTCCTATTACATGACAAGTCTAATGATGATATTTCAACCTCCCTTTAACTTAGTTCTAATGTGTTTGATGTCATTCTTTTGGACCTTGCATTTATTTTCGAGTCTTATGTGTATTTTTATAAAATAATGTTAAGAGTGTTTCACATTTAGTATTATCCTCGATTGAAATTAGGTTCCTACAATTTTTTGTTGCCAATGGTACAATGATAGTTTTTACATTGGTCAACCCGTCTATGAGAAGGATACAAGACTAGTTGATTGGTGTTTTTAAGGATTCATCAAGACCGAGAAAAACCGGTTTTCCTTATACAACAGGTGTGTAACTTGGAGTATCAATTATGTCATATTGGCATAGTTGCTATCACAATATGTGAATACATTAACAATTACATAGTTATTACAAAAATGGTCCAAAGGCCATATCACCTGAAATATTCCAACTCTTTTATCTTTTCTAGCACCTCTATGGCTTTTACCTTTCCCCTGTCCGTACCATGCTCTAGTAAATTCATCATTTTCTCCATAGCTCCAAGTTCTTGAGCCTCCACCAAATAATTTTGATCTTCCAAACAAAGTTCCACCAAAACTACAACTGCATTCTCTTTGTTCCTCGGGGATCCAGTCTCAATAATTTCAACCAAAATCGGCAAAGCTGCTGCTATACCAATAGCCAACCTCCCTTCAAGGTGGATTGAGAGTATGGCTAGAATGGCTATCGCTTTATCCTTCAAAACACCCTCTGGTTCCACAAGAAGCTCCATTAACATCGGGACTACACCCGCCCTCACAGCCCTCTTTTTGTTACCCTCATATATACATAAATTAAACATCGCGTTGGTTGCCATCCTCTTCCCTCTCTCAGTACCTTCACTCAACAGTAACACAAGAGGTGAAACCGCTCCTGCAGAAGCGATGATAAAGTCCTTTTCATGAATTACAGAGAGGCTGAAAAGAGCAGCCGCTGAGTTTTCCCATGCTACCATGCTACCTTCCTTTAGCACATGAACAATCCCCGTGACAGCTCCGGAGGTCACTATGCTGCCTTTGTTATCTTCAAAAATCAAGAGATTAAGAAGAGCAGTCACTGCATTTTTTTTCGTGTCCGTGAATCGGGTGCTCTGAGGAAGTCTGTCAGGAGAGGGAAAAGGCATGAGATTTCACCGGTGGCGATCCACTGGTCGTAAGGTCTGGTGGAATTAAGCTTATGTAGGAGAATTTCTATCGTGAAATGATCTGCGGGGTTAGAAGCAGAATGCTCGGACATCCATGAAAAAGCAAAAGTAATATTTGTAAAATGAAAAAGGTTAAACGAATTACTTACCCTGTTGTGTCTTATTATGTCTGACTAGTAACATCATATTTTTCTTAGTGTATTCATAACTTTCTTCTACAGCAATGAAATTTTCTCAATTCATTAAACGTTTTAATTACTTGTAAATCGCATCACAAAAAGAAGGCAGTTTGTGAATCTGCGACGTTCAACAGTTTGGAAGAATAAATCATTTAAATGAAAATGGCTTTCTAAACTTTTGGAAAAACGTGCAACCAACCTAAACTGTTTGAATTATATGACGATGTCAGGTGATAGAAAAAGACTAGGGTAATTTACCATGTTCTACGATCCATGATAGTTTTCATTCATATATTTGAAACTTGATTTCCTTAAGAAAAGAATTAGATAAATAGACTTACTTGAATAAATAATGCTTCCTAAATTTTTTTAATGACAGTGTCAAGCATTGGTCGTTCTGTTAAATTCAAACTAATGCACTGATATGCGATTTCTTTGAATGTATCAAAAGAACCACAGTTAATTTGATCTCTTATATAGGGATCAATTAGTTTGTCTGGTTCATTCTGTTGGTATCGTCGTACGTTATTCATCAGAAACTGTTGCTCATGGCCAAAACTTCTTTCACCATAAACAAGCATCCCACTCAAGATTTCAAAAAGCACCACGCCAAAGGAATATACATCTGATTCTTTTCGGAGGATGCGGCTTTCATGGTATGTGGGATCCAAGTAAATCTGGGTACCAGCAACCTTTGTATAGAGTTGGGTATCTGGCTGATTTCTGAGACCCAATTTTTACAAGCCAAAATCACAAACCTTTGCAACCAAATTGCCATCTAATAGGATGTTAGCACTTTTGACATCTCTATGTATTACTCTATTTTGCTCCCCAAGACCCGAGTGAAGGTAATGGAGTCCCCTTGCTGCCCCAAGGCAAATCTTTAGGCGTTGTATCCATGTTATGCAACGCATCCTACCTGGGTTTTGTAGATGATAAATGGTGGACGGTAAGAGGGGCAAGGGGGGCCATGGCCTCCCCGTTTTTCAGCCTCCTAATACCTGATATATAGATAATTTTTTTTATAAATGAATCCAACAATCATTATATTTTGCTATTTGCTAATTTGGCCCCCTCTGTTTTGAGCTCTGTTTTCTGTTTTATATGTAATGTAAGTTACAAAATTTGGTTATTAACCTAAAAAATCATCCGAAAATCACTGATCAAATCAAAAAAATCATTGATAAAATCAAGGGAGAAGAAACCGGATGATAAACTATCTCTTCAACTCTATAAAAGAAAAGAAAAACTCTAATATGAGATACAAAATTCTGAACTCAAAGATTTGAGTTTAAGAAAACAATAAAGAACAAGATATTTCAACGCCAGAAACCGTCATAATCTCACCGGAATAACACCGCCGCCGCCGCCCAACTGCATCTCCCACACCGGTTTCTGTCGCCACTCGCCGGACCACTGCTTCTCCGTCGTCGGACTGTAGCTTCTCCGCCTCTTTCTTTTTTCCGTTGTGTGCTCTGCTCGGTGCCGGCAAAATAGTGAATGCTCTCCCTCTCCGATACCCTCTTGACCTCTCGATCTCCTCTCCACAATGGTGAACAGGTTTTTTTTTTCTCATCATGTTTGTCTCTCTCTTTTAACTCTCTTTGGATCTTTACTTTTATTTATTTATTTATTCTGTAAACTTGTGGAGTGTAAGATTGGTATATAGTGGTATAGTATAGGCTGACAACTTTACTTTATTAATAATTATAACATCTATTTTTAATTTATTATTTTTGTAGAATTATAGTATGCAAAATCCTTATGTAAACTTATTTATTTTATATATTAGCATATAGTGGAATTAATAAAATGATAACATACAAATTCATATGTAAAAACACTGAAAGTCAAACGATTATACTCATATTTTATAAAGATATTGTTGCTTGATATAATAGATTTGTCCTTGTTATTTTATTTTAGTACGATATATTGTTATTTATTAATTGCTACTATAGTACATATCCATCATCAAAAAACAATGGTCTATTAAGGAGTTATTTAAAATGAATGTGCTAATTTTATCTATGAACACCTACTTAGAGATTGTTTTGGATAAAAATACATTAAATGTCTAGAATTCCTGTTGCAAGACTTTAAAAATAGAAAAAATCAATGACTTCAATTTTGAGGTGAGACGTAAAAATATTTTGTTACTAGTTTTCTTGTCTTAAATTTTTATATGTCAATCATTTTGAATATTTTTTTTTGTCTATATGGTTTGGTTTTGAAGTTTTAATTTCGGCCTCCCACTTATAGTGTTTGTGTTCCTTATAGTGTTTGTGTTCCGCCCCTGATAATCAAAACTTCCATCCGTAGCAAACTCATAAACTATAATCATCTCAACACCATCGTTACAGTAACCGATGAAAGGTATGATGTTTTCATGGTTGAATCTGGAGATCATATGAAGCTCGTTGCGGAACTCGCGCTCTCCTTGGTAGCTGTCCGGACCTAGCTGTTTGACAGCAGCTGTGCGGTTTTGCCAACGTGCAGAGAGTTCTCCTTTGTAGACAGCACCAAATCCATCATGTCCAATACATCTTTCCTGACTGAAGTTTTCAGTGGCATCGTTTGATCTCATCTATTGGAATTAGATAACTTTCAAGGCTTACTCTTGAGGAAGACATCCTCTTTTGATATACGCTCGATCCAATAATGGATATGTTAGAGGCAGGGGATGATGGCCTGTTGCTGATGGTTTTTTCTGGAAGAAGTTTACCGGGGCAGAAAGGGTCTCGGAAGCGGTGATGCACTAAGAAAAACTCTAATATGGTGGTTTCTTCAGGTGGCGGCAGAAGGTCAACCTTAGCAGGTTACTTCTCATCTAATTCACTGTTTAGATCTGAATCTATGTGTACACTAATCGATAAACATAAATACAAAAAAGCAGACCGATTGGTAGAATCACCTCGGTACTTACAATTAAACAAAGTAATGGAGTTAGCATAGTGTTAGCCACCTAATTTCGCACGTGCTTAATAACAAGTTTCTAAGTTGTTACAAATTAAATCTCGTATTTCATATTTTTGCACGATATATATATATATATATATATATATATATATATATATATATATATATATATATATATATATATATATATATATATATATATATATATATGTTGGTTCCCTTGAAAATAAAAAAAATTAAAAATTAAAAATTGTGAGATATATGTATAACCGTTTGATTTGATTATGTTTGTTTATGAAGCTATGCGGTGACATATTTGTAATTATGTTGGTAACTTATTAAACTACCGCCGTTAATTTACAATTGTGGGGCTATTGTTGTAATTTTACAAAGATTGATATGAATTTTGCAGGCTACGATACTGTAACCGCCTATTGTTTTCTTTTCTTTCTCGATCGAAGTCTCAATTCAAACTCTTAGGAAACCCTCAGAATTTCATATATGCCCTTCTTAAACATCAAAATATCATATTTACCCAACTTAATTTCTAAATATCATATTTACCCTTCATAAAATTTCTAAATATCATATTTACCATTCATAAAATTTCAAAATATCATATATGTCCTTTTTAAACATCATAATATCATATATACCCTTCTTAAATATCAAAATATCGTATATGCACTTTTTAAACATCAAAATATCAATGGTAATATCTAAAATATTCTTCATCTACAACATAATCAACAAAAAGACTAAACAATCAAAATATAAATTCTATAGAGAGGGTTGAAGATGAATATTTTTGTTTGTCAAGATGACGACATTCCAACAATTTAAAAGTTCACATTCCATTATCATAGACGTAAGGATAATATCGTTAAATTTTTTAATTATTATAGTAATTTTAAGTTATTAAAAATGATTATAAAATATTAAAAACATTATAAAAAAGGATTTGGGCAAATATGATATTTTGAAGGTTTATGAAGGATATATATGATATTAAGAAATTAAGTTGGGCAAATATGATATTTTGAGGTTTAAGAATGACATATATGAAATTCTCCCTTCTTTGTTTATCTCATTTTGCCCTAGTTTTCATTTCTTAGTTGTTATTGAGAAATCAGTAAATATCTTCAGGAGAAAATATAAACGAAGTTGCATCTTCCTTAATCCAAATGAAAGGTTAGAATGCGAGTTATTTTTCATTTTATTGATAATGTATGTTTTTATTAATTAGTTAATTGTCGTTTTATATTGATAATGGTGTTTTTTGTTTTGATTCAGTAGGTTTTTCGTCATTTTAACTTGATTTTGATGATTGTCTCATTTAGAGTTGATATGTTTTTTACTATGTTTGTTTGTGGTGGTTTTTGATGTAAGTTTTTGTTTATATTTTCACAGATAAGGATTTCAAAAGAAACTATGTTCGAAAAAAATTCAAAAATCAGAAAAATATCGAATGCGGTAGAAGTGTTGTTATTTTCGAAGGTACAGTTCAAAAAAAAATCATCTATGATTAGAAGTAGAAATAAACATATAACTTACTGTTCGAAGTTATTTGTTGTAATTATAACTGATTTTTTTATTTTTTTAGTGTATTGAACATAACATCTAGTTATATGTTTATTTTTACTTTTAATCATAGATGATTTTATACGTTTGTTTATAATCATTGCTAACTAGTAATGATAAATGTATTTTTATGTATCAAACATGAATATAAAGTTAATTTTGTAATCATAACTGATGTTGGGGTTCTTTTAAGTGGATTATATATAACATTTAGCTTGTATTTTTATTTGTTGTTTTGTTTATAATCATTAGTGAATAGTAATGATAAATGTATGTTTTATTTTTTACTAACACTATTTTTGTAATGAAAATTGTATTTAAAAAAAGGAATGTAGATAGCTCAAGGAAGACATGGTCATCTTCCAAAAGAGAGAAGGCGAATGAGGTGTCGCAAACGCGTTCAAAGACATCCAAAAAAACAGTTATTGAACAACCAAAAGTGAAGCTGAGGGTTAAGATCAAAACTGTAAGTAAGAAACGTGAACTATCTGATGAAGATGATTCAGATTTTCAGAGTTATCCTGGATCTTCAAAGAAACCAAAGAGAGAAACTAAAGTTTTGAAGAAAGATAAAAAAGCTATTGTTATAAAAGAATTTCCTTCATTGAAGAATAGATGTTCACCCGGGTCATTGTTGGGTGTTATTCAAGGTTTAAGTAGAGAACCAGAAGGATTGTGTTAGGGCTATGGGATTTGAGAGTTTGTAGGGTGAAGATGATTGACGTATCGTTGAAGATTGTTTATTATGTTCTTGATCATTTTAATTTTGAATCTTTGAAGGTGGAGTTTGATAATTATGAAGTTAGTGTTGATAGTAAGTCTGTTCAAGAGATGTTAGGATTACCATCTGGTGGCTCATTACTTTCAAACATGGATTACATTTCGAAGAATAATGAAGAGAGCTGTATGTTTGAGTGGAAGAAACGGTTTGAAAATATTGATAAATTGAGATTGAAACAGCTAATGAATGAACTTGTTCAAACTAGTGCTGCTGATGACAACTTCAGAATCAATTTTTTGGTTCTTTTTATTAATACTTTCTATGAGTCTACAAGCATGGGTAAATGTAATCTGAATCCATTGTATTTAATCAGAAGAGATATTGATTTAAGTAGCATTGACTGGTGCGATTACATTGTGGATTGTTTGGTAAGGACGAAGAAGGTTTACAATCCAGAGAAAGAATCTTCTTTCTTTTATGAACCAGCAACATACCTTATGGTACGTGAGTTATTTTTTGATATTTATTATTCTTGTTAGTTGTAAAAATATGTTTGTTTTTATAATAAATCATATATGATTTTATTACATATAATCATATATGATTATGTAGTATAGTTTTTGTTTAATTATATATTACACATCAAAATCATATATGATGTTATATGTTATGATTTTATATATGCTTTTTGTAGTTGTTGTATGTGGATACTTTCAAGTTTGATCATTTGCAAGTCACACGTAAACGTCCAACTATTTTTTATTGGACGTCAGAGAAGATAAGGTTTCTTGAGGATATTTTACAAGAGACTGGAGGATTTGGATGTGGACATGTTAATGAAGCATATGTTGAAGAAGAATTTCAAGAATCTGAGTATAATGAGGAGGAATTTGGTGGTGATGAGGTTGAATCTGATGGTGAAGAGGATTTATGTGATGAGGATGAAGAAGATTTTGATGTTAATAAAGTTAGTGATGTAGAGATAATTATATAGTTTTATTCATTTATGATTTAATTAGTTTATTCATTTATGACTTTTTATGTTTAAGTATTTTAGTTGTAAGTATCTTTTTTCTTATGTAGGTGTATGAAAGTAAAATTTCATGTATGTATCAGAAGATGGAGGATTTGAAAAAGGATCTTGTTGTAAACATAGATGAGGGAGTGTTGAAGTTTCCTCAAAGTCAAAATTTGAAAAATTGGAAATTGTTATTTCCTGTTGAAGATGTAAGCACTGAAAGATTTGATTTCCGTTATGTTTCACAAAAATATAAAGAACCGATATTAACACCTGGTTTTCTTCAAGTTAATGATGAAGATTATGGGAATGATTTTCTTAATGATGATGAAAATGTTGAAGATTATGATCAAGGGAAATGTTCTGGTGGTCAGGGGGATGGAAGTGGTCCACATGAGGGCAATATTGGTAAAAATCACATTGAAGGTAAGGTGATTATGATGAAGATGATGAACAAGGATGTTGAAGTGGATGTAATAAAGAAGAGGACATGAATTTAAATTCTGTTGTCGAAAATGTTACTAAGAGTATGGGTCTAATTGATAGTCAGGAAGGTGTATCTTTTAGTCAATTTATTTGCGATCCAGTTGTTGAAAGTTTTCTTAAAACTTTGGATCAAGGTAGGAATATTTTATTGTTATATATATTTTAATCATATATGATTTTAATTTTTTATATTTGAATTTTATAGGTACTGATGGTTGTTTAAATCAGAAACTAGTTGAAGATGATGTGAGTTTGAATTTGACTGGTATTGATGATCGTAAGTTTTTATTTATGTATTTTTAATACATAAAATATATATAAATGTGTTATATAGATGATTCGTTTATGATTTTAATAATTTAGGGACTGTAAATTTGGGTGAGGATGATCACAAGAATAAAGTAATTTCAGATCGTACTGTTGATAAAATTATTGTAGCAAAGAATGACGGAGAAGGTGAAGATGTTGAAGATTGTTCAAATAAAAATAAAGATGGAGGTAATTTGTTTATAATTATTTCTTATTCATATATATTTGTGTTTATAATTATTGTTTATTCATATATGATTTTTATAATTTTATTGGGTAGAAAATGTTGAAGATTGTGCAAATAAAAACAATGATTCAAATGAGACTCGATCATTGAAAAATGATCTTGTTCTAAGTTTTAGTCTTAGATTTAGTCAAGATTCTGAAGGTTCCAAGAAGTCATCTCAAAGTCAAATTTCTTCTGAACGGATGACAAAGAAAAAGATTAAGGATAGAGTTATTTTGGGAAACCCAAGTACTGGTCTAGAGTGTGTTATTCCAAATGTTGATGTTATTGATGCTAATCCAGTTTCTTTTGCACCCCCTTTGGGTACATTAGAAGGACCATCAAAACCTATTTCTAGCAAACATAAAGATATAAATGAAGAAGCAACCTCAGTAGTGGATGTCAAAGGAAAGAGACAAATGAAGTTTTCTTATGTTTATAAGTCACCGTTTAAGGAAAGGTTGATTAATTTTAAACCTTGTTTGACACAAGTAGAAAATGTTGTTTGTGAATGGCTTTTCAGTCTTCAAGGAAATCCAGGGTAATTTTTTTAATATATTTTTTTATTTTTATAATTATAATTTTTTTTCTTTTAAATAACATTTAAATAAATATATACAGGGATATTGTATTGCTTATGGAAACAGATGTTATTGGGTTTCGAGCTAATTATGAAAGTCTTTATTAAAAAACCCATTTGCATGTTAGTCTTCTTAACTCATGGTCTCGTATACTAAATCATGAAAAGAAATTCAGAGATGTTGTTAATTCTCCACTCAGATTGTTCATGCATTTTGACACTGTAAGTTTTTATTTTATTATTAATAATTTTTTTATTAAATATTTACATGCTATTATATAATCATATATGATTTTCTTATATTACAGACTTTGTTATTTGAATATACTCATTTGAATGAAACTGGAAAATATAAAGTTTTCAAGGAGAGCTTTTCTCGTAGTGTTTTTGGTGATAGAGACTTGAAGGTTTTGAAGGATGTTGATATGGTATATTTATTTTTTTATACATTTATATATATATATATATATATATATATATATATATATATATATATATATATATATATATTATTTCTAATATTATACATGTTGATGTTAGGTATTTTTCCCGGTTTTGAGGCATGAGCACATATATCTTATTGTTATGAATCTGAAGAAACGTGCTTTTGAGGTTATCGATAATGGTGCAAATGATGCTGATTTCAATGATAAGTATTACTACTAGAAAAAAGCCCTTTAATGACGCGCAAACAACGACACGCGCTGACAGTGGACACGCATTTGTTCGTGCCCTAAAAAATAATGTCAGCTTTGCAAATGTGAAGGATAGAAGACACACATTTTTTGCGCGCCCTAAAATTAATGTCCAAAAAAAACACGGAGGCCACCTACCGTAAAAGGCGTATCGTGTAAAGATGTCATTTTATATTTTTTTTAGGAAGGCGCGTTCTCGCTTTTTTTTTCAATCGACGATGGTGGGAAATGAAATCCCAAAAAATTAAACACCCGCCTAATGCTTCTTCTCCTTCAACAATCCTCTAACAAAGAACCCTAACCCTAATTCTATTGTGAGGCCCTAAGTCGCCATCACCAGTATCGAACCCCATCACCAACATCAAACCCCAAAAAATTAAACACCCGCCTAAGCTCGTCTTCCAGTACCTTGATCTGCACTCTCTCTCCCTACTCTTTACAAGACCTAAGCCGCCATCACCAGCATCGTACCCCATCAGCTGTAAGCGGCCATGGATTCTGTAAAGAGTGTTTGTCTCGTATGTCTTCATTAGCGCCATCAGACACTACTCTTCTCTATCCACGATGTCGCCGAGTCTCCGTATGTTTTCATCACGCCATTCGACGAAAAGAACTAGGGCTTTGAACCACATCTCAATAAATTTATCAAAGAGATCCAACGACTCCTCTCACTTAAAACACCTTCGATTGAAGGTTATGTGACTCCTTACTCTCCTCATTCTCTCCTCTTCGTTGTCGTATGTCGCCCTCCCTCGCTGTCTCCTTCTATCTATGCCCTTCTACTTCTCCCTCGCTGGGGGCCCTGGTACCTTCAATTTCCGTTTGCATTTCATTAGCTAATTTGTTGATTTCTTTGGGATGCGAATTCAAATCACATGTTCTTCTTTGGCAATTTGGAGGTGAAATTCAGGTTGTATTACAGGAGAGTGGAGGAAGGGAAACAATATCCAGTACTCTGTAGGAGATTAGCTAGCTTAAACGAAGAGTTCATTTCACATAAAAGTCCAACAGGTGGGTTCGATTTCATCTCCGGGAAGAGGATTGAACAAAAACTCATCGATTACAATCAAGAAGCAGAAAGATTTTGGGGTAATTCCAATTCCAGTATCATTTCAACATCTCTCAACGATCTCTAATTCTCTTCCACTTCATTTAATTTCTTAACATGACTTGATTTAGGTTATGCATATGAAGAGGTATCAGAAGTCTCACCTTATCGTCGATTCATTGCATACACCATGTATGACAAATACAACGATTTCTTCAAATTATGTGTGAGAGATTTGAATTCAGGATATCTTTGTAGCAAGCCACAAGCTGATTGGGTCTGTAATGTGGCATGGGCTAAAGGGGGTCAAGCATTGCTATACATTGTCACTGATCAAAAAAAGAAGCCTTACAGGTATCCTATATAAGTATATACAACTTTTTCTAAACTCTATATCTCTTATCTAATTTAAACATTTTATATTTCTTGTATATGATTTTAGGATATATTGTAGTATGCTTGGATCAAAGGATGAAGATGTGATACTCTTAGAAGAACATGAAGAAAATGTGCATGTTAACATCAGACATACCAAGGATTTTAAGTTTGTGACTGTTTATGTGTTTTCAACCACATATTCAAAGGTATTATTATATACTAGCTTTAATTGTTTTTTATTTCATTGATTTTTCTTTCAAGAATCATTCAAACTTCAAATTCTTTAGGTTTTTATGATCAATGCAACTGATCCTCTATCTGGTTTAACAATTGTGTGGGAATGTGTTGTGCACATTGCATTATCGAGCATCATCAAGGCTATCTTTATCTTTTTACCAATGCTAACAAAGAAGGGCAATCAGTAAATTACCATTATATCCTTCGTAGCCCTCTTCACTCTTCAAGTCCAAGAAAGTGGGAAGTTAGACTTTCTTTTGAGATATGTTGTTTTTTCTTAATGAAAAAAAAAGACTTTCTTTTTACCTTTTTTTTAAATGTTACAGAATGTATTTATTGATGACAATGATTTGGTGCTTGAGGATGTTGACTTTTGTGACACATTTGGTGCTTATTGTTAAAGAAGGTGAAAGATTCAGGCTTTGTTCAGTTGCATTGCCTCTTCCAAGAAATAATTTTTTTTTATAGTTTTATTAATGTTATGATGATTCAGATTCAGATTTCATATATTGTTATTTTCGTTTATTGGGTATAAAAATTTGAGACATTTTTGCCCTTTTGTCTAACAGGATGTGTTCCATCTTAAAGAGTTGGGATTACATTTTCTTCCTCTTCCAAAATCTGTTTCCCAAATCTCACATGGACCAAATTATGACTTTTATTCACCAATCATGCGATTTACAATTTCATCACCTGTTGTATGTTTCTGTTAAAATTTTATGACGAACAAGCCCTTACTTTTTGTTTACCATCTGAATTTGTTTTCTTTTCATATGCCTGATGCAGTTGTTGATTATAATTTATCAAATGGGAAATTTGAAATCATTCAACAACAAAACCTACTTCAAGAAAGAACATGTGTTTTATATGGCACAACTTCTGTGGGACCCACAATAGATAATAAATCAAATAGTAATAACTATGGGGAGTTAAAGTCATGGAATGATCTTTCTGAGTTTTATGGTTGTGAAAATCATCAAGTGGTTTCTACTGATGGAGTCAAAGTTGGTTTGACTATTATTTATTCACATAAAAGGAAAAAAGAAAGCGAAAATCCTGGATTGCTTCATGCACATGGTGCTTGTGGTGAGTTGCTTCATAAAAAATCGTGTAATGAGTCAAAAAGTCTTCTTGATCGTGGTTGGATTCTTGCATATGCTGATGTTAGGTTAGTTTTTTTTAATTATTAAATCTTTTTCTATAATTAATATTGTTTTTTAATATATTTATATAGGGGAGGGGATTATAACAAAAGGGAAAAATGAAAGAAACAGCACGTTTTTATTTTACTTTGAAAAAAGGTCGTAAAAGACCTTATATATTGAGTTTTTTCTGGATAAACATCATTTTTTTTCTTGAAGATCTTGTATTTTTTCATTTTTCCAAAAAAGCCCTCAATTTTTTTTTCTTCCAAAAAAACCCTCTTTTTTTCTGAAAAAAACCCTCACATTTGACAAGTTTTTTGGAAAGTAGCTGCTAAAAGGGCCAAATTGAAAAAAATGAAAAAATACAAGGTCTTTTTCTGAAAAAAGTAACATTTAAAAATTGTACTTTTCATAAAAAAAAATTCTACTTTAAAATTTTACCAAACTACAACACTTTTAATAAAAAAAATTCTTATTAGAACATTCTACTTTAAAAATTGTTTACATTACTATAATTTAAAAAAATAATCGAAAGTACGTTGCTATTTATTGTATATAAGTATATAACCCAAAACAAAACATTATTATTATTTGTTTTTTAATAGTTTTGTTGTATTTTCAGGGGTGGAGGTCGGAGAGGAAAGAAATGGCATGAAGATGGAAGAAGCATTAAAAAACAAAATTCAATTAATGATTATATTTCATGTGCAAAATTCCTAATTAACAATAAAATTATACACCAAAATAAATTAGCAGGTTGGGTAAATTGGTAAAATAACATATAATTCGTAAAATAGCATATAATTTTTAATATACTTCTAATTAAAATATCTTTATGTTATATTATAATAAGGAAAAATGATTCATTAAATGTGTGTGTGGGATATCAAACTTCTATGTGAAAAGTAAAAACTACATAGACACCTGCCCGCTGTTTTTGTCTTTTATTTATTTGTTTATTTATTTTCATTAATGTCTTGATTTGTTTAGTCTTATGACTTGGATATCTGAGGAACTAAAGTTTAGTTGATGAACAAACTGATCAAAATTAATAGAAAGGTTTGAAATCAGATTGCTTAGAATGACCAAAAGATTAGAAATCAGATTGCATGCAAGATGTTTGATCAAATGTCCGAGAGACATTACCTTCTTTATTTGTGATTAAATTTCCCATTTTTTAAAAAATTTAGCAAGTGAAGTTTCAATTTTACAATTAAACGAAAACAAAATCAACCGCTTGGACTTTTATTCATTTTTTTTTTATAAAAATGTACGTTTTTCTTACCCGCCATTCCTGACATTGGACAGCTTGCATGTCCACACGTGACAATATTAAATACATTAAATACATGCATGTATTCTAACATCTCTGGCTTTTTGTTGTATTATAACAGGTTCTACTTGGAGTGCCTCACAATTCCTATATTTTTTCTTGGATTTAATCTTCCCAAGGTGAATCTAAGTTCTAATATATTGCAACTAACATACTTGCAGTTTATATCATCTAAATCTAAATTACATGCAAGGAATATGTATAGTGTTTTTTTTTTGTTGCTGCTATTGACTAGTTTACCCTTGAGTATCCATTAATAAGATAATGTGAGTTAGTAGTTGTTAATGATTCAGATCTTTGTCATATGCTTTTGCAGGGCAATTTGTTATATTAGGTAGCCAACAGCTCCCTAACCCTTGTTCAGGTTGGTTTTAGCTTTCTAATATAGTGTTCCTTATGATGGAATCATGGCTCATTCCATCACAACAGAAAAAAAAAATGTTTGTTTTGGGGGATATTCACATAAAAACCCTAAATTTTTTCAGAAAAATACAGTTTTACCCTAACATTACTTTTTGGTGGGTTTAGAGGGTACTGCTTTCCCATAAACACCAACATCTGAACTCAACAACCAGATAAATTAGAAAAGGGTATAATGGGAAAACCAATACATTTTTTGATTTGGAATTGATTCTTCATATATTTTTTTAATGATAAAGGGTATAATGGGAAAACCAATATTTTTGTAAGTGGAAAGATAAATTAGAAAAGTGGATGATTAGCGTCTAGATGATGAAATTGTTTTGGAGTTAGACCAAATGGAGAAAGTATCTGATATAGAAGATATCTTGAGTTATAGGCTTGCTGCTGAACTTGAGCTTCAGGTATGATTATGATCATTGTTGTTAATATCTATTACAAGTTCTTTTTACTTATACATTATGTTAAAGACTATGAACATGTAGGAGTTGTTGGTGGATTCAGCTTTTGGTTTTGGAAATAGTGAAGCATTATATATATATATATATATATATATATATATATATATATATATATATATATATATATATATATATTAGTTTACAAACTATAGAATGTGTTCAGTAGTGAATCTCATTGAGACAAAATGGTAAATCTGCAGGTGGTTCAATCAATGTCATTTAGTAATATTTGGAATTACAGCCTTTGTAAGTTTGACTAAAACCTTCTAATTTTGTTTACTTTTTAACTTTGTTTTTGGTTTCATTTAGTAATAAAGTATCAACTATCAACAGTTATGTGGTAGTAATCCTTCTGAGGGGGTGTTTGTTCGGCTGCTTCTTTAAATGTCATTAACAACAGTGGTAAGTAAAATCTTACTATTATGAAAATCTTTTGCTTAAACCTACCTTATTGACCTGTAACTGATTAAACATTAATTTAATTATGCAGGTTTTGAATTTTTTGATGGAAAAGAATAGTGTTAATGCTCTTCATAGAAAAGTATGTTGGTAGTTTAGGAAATTTGGCTAATAATTTAGTTAATTATATAAAAAAATTTAAAATGTTACATTTGTCTACTATTGGAATGATTATTTGATGTATTACATTTGTCTACTATTGGAATGATTATTTGTATGACATTAACTTTTGTGCAATGTATTGTATTTTTTGTATTATGAGACATGAAATGCAAATTTAATTTGAAAATCAGTAAATCTATAATTAATTTTTTTTTAAAAAAAATTAAAATTACGATACACAAAAATGTGTGTCGCCTTCATTTATGACATGGCCTTTCTTGACAGGGGCTTTCTTGATACGCATTGCGTGTCATTAACACGCATGTCGTAAGGTTACAACACGCGAATTCGTGTCGTCTTCCTTTATGAGAGGGCCTTCCTTGATACACATTGCGTGTTGTAAACGCGCGTCGTAATTGCGCGTCGTAAATGCGCGTCGTCTCTCTTTATGACAGGGCCTTCCTTGACGCGCATTTGCGCATCGTCTGAGCCTTTTACGACGCGCAATGAGCATCGTAAAAGGCATTGTAAGTTTCAAATGATATTTATTCTTTAAATTTGAAAGCATATATGATATATTTTATAATTATTATACTTATATTTTTCTGACTTGAAATCATATATGATTTTCAGAAAAAGTCTTTTTTGAAGTATCTAAAAGAGATCGGTCATGTTAAAGCAAATGAAATGGCTGATAAAAGTATTACTCCAGTAAGATTGACAATGACATGGAGGACAATTTATAACAAAGTGGATTGTGGAGTTTTGCTATGAGACATATCGAGAGTTATTTTCGAGAAAAGGTTCTAAATGGAAATGTGGTCTTCCAAAAGAAGGTGGTTCTCAAGAAAAACTTCTGGAAAAGTTGAGAATGAAATATGCAGAAGCAATCTTAACTTCTGAGATCAATACAAAGCGTGATGATGTGTTGAAAGCTGCATATGAGTATCAAAAAGTTGATCAAAAGATTCGTGGTAAGCATGCATATGATGCTCAATGGAATATAGAAAGAAGGTTGTTTAAATTTTTTTGATTGAATATTTTCTTATTGATGATGTTATAAGAACAAGGTTGTTTATGTTGTGTATGTTATGGATATTGTGAAGAATGTTTGTTTTTATAATGATGGAAAACATGGTGACGGAAAACAAGTTAATATGTATTTTGGTAGATTTTATTATCAAAGTTTGTTTGTGTGAATTATGTTATTGAATGTTAATCATAAGTGATTATGTTATATTTTTATATGTAATTTATGTTTTTACTATTGATTATATGTTGCTTATATGTAATCATTAGTGATTGTATCGATTATTATTTTTTGTAATCATAAATGATTATATATATTGTACAATACATTATAATTTATTATATCTTTTTCTTGATAAGTGGGCTTATCTTTACTGCATGGAATACATCACCATGCAGAATCTTATCTTTGTAAGATTTTATTTTTGTTTTTTAGTGTTTGTATTGAATAATCTTTTCTTTATAAATGAAAACTAAAGTTGGTAGCCTCATGCTATGCCTTATATTTCTTCAAAGATGAGTCCTTATATTTCCAAATGGTTAGTTTTGTTTATTAATTTCTTCAATTTTTATATATCACCATTATTAATTTATGATCTAAACAACTTCCATTTTGTTTCAGGTAAAATATGGAGTCTATAAGTCTAAAAGAACTAATTTTGTTGTATCTAATAACATGTTCCCCATTTTTTCAAGATTCTTGTTCTTTTATTTGTAGCTAGATTTTCATACGGATTGTAGCTGACTCCAAGAATGCCTCTTCCACCATTACTTAAAAAGTTTATCTTCATTGAACATATCAGATCTTTACTAGATGTCTTTGAAGTAGAGGAATGTTGTTCATTTAAAGAATATTTCATTTTAATGAACAACATTTCTCTACATCAGATATGTAGTAAAGATTTGTTAGGTTCAATGGAGATAATCTTTCTAAGTAATGGTGGAAGACTTCTTGGAGTTAGCTACAATCTGTATGAAAATCTAGCTAGGAATATGAACAACAAGAATCTTGGAAAATGGGGAACTTGATATTTGATACTTGTGAAATTGTTTGTTATTGAAGATTCTATCATGTTTGATGTTATTCTATGATGATCAATATTGTTATCTTTAGATTTTTTATTAGCAGTGTTGTATATTTGTTAGGAACAATGTTGTTGTATATGGTTATATGTAATGGTTAGATGTTTTTTATGTGTAATCATATTTTTAATCACTTATGATTAAACAAAACATATGAAGTAGTATTACATAATATTTTATGATTTTACAGATGAATATTGTATATGGTTATGTGTAATGATTACATGTATTGAATAATAGTTATATGTAATCTTAAATGCTTGTAGTAACAATTAATAAAACTTTAATCATGAATGAATATATTATCAAATCAAAGAAAGAATTATCAAAGTAGATTAAACCCAGAAGACAAAATCATAGTAAATTATGTTTTATAAAAAGAGTAAAGTATACTAAACAAAATGTATATTATTTTGAAAAAAAAAATTATGACTTATTCATTACTGATTAAAGCAGTAAATATCTATGTAGCTTTTGATGATTGTTCTGCTACAAGTTTGATTGGGCATGTCCGCAAGTTATGAGGAGCCCTTTCTCCACATCCTGAGCATCTTCTTGTTTGCTTGTTTGAATTTTTATACGCTATTTCTGCTGCACTTTGAATTCTACTTTTGTTTCTGCATCCTTTATTACTTTGAACATTTGGAACATTGATGTCAATATCTTTTGGAATAGTTATGCCCATAAGCTTTCCTACCTCTTCAACATCTATCCTATTTTTTTGCAATTCATTTGTAGGATCATTTTCATATTCCTTCACCATGTTTTCTGTTTTCTTAACAAACAAATCCATTTTTTCGTTATTTTTTTCTTACGTATTCCAAACATGCTTCAAAGTTGTAGTATGCTTGATTGACAGATCTGTTAATTTCACTGTCTCATGTATCATATACATGTCTACCAAAATTATAATGCATTGATATCACAACCTTTCTCCAACGATTCTCAATGTACTGTTTAGGTATCTCCTTAATTCCATGTTTCATGAGTATGTTGAATGCATGTCTGCACAAAGTCCCAAAGCGGTTGAAGTGTTCACATGTACATTTTACATCATTTGTTGGAAGTTTTATTTTTGAATTAGTGTCTAAGTCCATAAATATTTTGGTATGTACTTTACCCGATGGTGCATGGTCCTTTTGGGTTGCCTTCACCAAAGCAACTTGATAGGATGAATTATGGAGAGAAAGGATTAAATATGATTTATTAATATATTATGAGAATAATATATTAAAGGAGAAATCATATTGTTTAATTAATATTAGTCAAGAATTAATTGATAATTAGTTTTGTGACTAAAAGAGATTAATTAAACTTAAGGGACTGGAATTGTAATTATAAGATAATTGCAATTTGGGCTATGGATTGTCTTATATTAAGGAGTGGACGAATTCTATGGGGAAACCCATAAGAAATCGTCCAAGGCCTTAAGGAATGAAGTCCATGGGTTGCTTAGGGCTTAAGCATCCAATTTAGGGTTTCCTTGTTAGATAACCCTAATAGCCTAACTATATATACATCCCTTATGACCCAAAAACGTGGCTAAGCAGCCTTCTAGGGTTTCACACGTTTTTGGGCAGCCTCCATCCTCTCTCCTCTTCATCCTCTTGCTCTTGGTGTTTGTGAACCATTAGAGGAGTGACATTTGTGACTCTAAGCTTTCTAAAGTCAATACAAGGGGGAATTGAGATTGTTATTGCTACATAACAATCAAGGTATGATCTTAAACCTATTCTCATGTTAATATGATTACTTGAATGCTAAAATTAGGGTTTATAGTCTTGTATAACTAGCATGTACAATAGAGAAACCTAGATCCAAGCATTAGGGTTTGTATGAGCACATAGGATGTTCTTATAACCAAAACCCATCAGTGGTATCAGAGACTAGATTGGTTTCTATTGTATTGATGCCTTTTATGTTGAAAAAATTCGATTTTTGTGGTTCTGCATCATAGACTCGGCGAGTCCCACTGTGGACTCGGCGAGTTGCCCCTACTCGGCGAGTCCATGGGGGTACTCGGCGAGTTCGAGCGTCAGATGGAGGGAAAACTGGGATTTCTTGTTGTTTTTTGCTTAAGGATAGTTTCCTTATCTTATTAGATCAATATACATCCGATTTTATGATATATTTGACTATATTCTTGATCTAATTAAAGATATTTATCAATTAATAAAATATTTGTTTCCTTATGTAATAATTGATTAATTATTTTGATTAAATTGGTAAATTGTTTTCCAAGATATCATTAAATAAATCAAATATGGATAATTATGTGATTAAATGTTAATTAAGATTATTTGTTATTTGATCCTTGTTGTTATGAAAAGTTTCGTATTTTCCCCTTTAGGTTTTATAGTTTAAATTTGAACTCAAAAGTTTTGTTGTTTTGAAATTTAAATAGTTAAAACCCTCATGTTTTGAAAAAGGTTTCAAAACTTGCCCTCAAGTTTTGGAATTTAAATTTTGATGTATATTTAAATTCTAACCCTAATGTTTTTGAAATGTTTCAAAACTTGCCATCAAGTTTTGGAATTTAAAAGTTGATTAAAAGGTTTAATTAGGAATGTTAAATTCTAAAACCCTAGTAATGTTTTGAAAAGTTCAAATCACACCCTTGTGGTTTTATTAATTAATTAAGGTGTATAATTAAAAGAGGTTTAATAAATCCATAAAAGTTTAGGTTTACAATATTAATTGAATTAAAAGTATAATTGTTAAATTTGACCACCTAGTATTTTAAAAGTGTAAAATACACCCTATACTATATATAACATTAAAAGTCTAACATTATATATATATATGTATGAGTAAAAGTCAGTCTTACCGTTAGTAGGCCTCATTCACGAAGCTGGTCTATAAGGGGTGTTTAAGGAAATTGTTTTTATAATATGGTGATTGAATGGGTATCTTCTCTTACCCACCGCACTCTTGACTAGTGGAGGGTCGTTAGCCGAATGGGTAGGCTAGGACGAAACCTTCCATTATAAGTATGATGAAGTAAAAAAGTAACTAAATGTTTTCACAAATTCCTAATCTAAAGTTACTTAGGCAAAGTGAATTGATGCAATTCCATGAAATTACACTTTATGCCCTTGCGAAGACGTTAGTGGAGCGTGTGTGGTTTACCGGCACACTAAATGGTTCTAAGCAAAGGTAACAAAGGGTGACTCAATGTTTGTCATAGTTCGGTGGAGCGTGTGTGGTTTACCGGCACATCGAATAGGTGACTGTAACATGTGAGGGCACCATGTAAGTTTGCATGGTTATTCACACCCGCTTTGTAATCCTCAGCATCCCAGTCACAAACAAGAGGGGCATATCGAGATTTAAACATGCCATTGAAATGTTAAATGAATCTCAAAGGATCTAGGAGTTTTCATAGATTTAAAACTTAAATTTCTTTTTCATTTTTTCATGGTGGAAATTAGTGAATCGTCATTCACTTACCTTCAAATGTTCTGCAATGTGGGTTATGGCATCCCTCTCCCGAGTTGTAGAATATTGTGTTGGGTCCTAGCCTTAGTATCTCATTTGGGTGATTTACTAAAGACTCAATCAATCAACTAACTTGAATTCGTTTTCTCCCGTGTTGTAGATGTCAAAGTTCGACAACTATGGTCTTCCCAAATCCCGTGGAACAAGCATTCCACATCAAGATGGTATTCCACGATTCAATCGAGGAACAAGAAATCATGCTTCACTTCCTCCACCTCTTCCAGTTGTTCTACCTAACCCACAAGATTGAAGAATTGAAAGGTTCAATATCACTAAAGCCCTATTGGAAATGAAACATGAAGATGGTAAACCCGTGTGTGCCCACGTTCTAGGAATGAAATCACACATTGATAGGTTGATAATGTTGGGTGTGTCATTCCCAGATGAGTTGGCTGTGAATTGGGTTTTGTAGTCACTTCCTGAGTCATATAATGAGTTCAAAAGTAAGTATTATATGATGGATCATGATGACAACCTCATTGACCTAACTTACAAGCTCATTGCTACTGAATCAGAAATGATTTGGAGAAGCAATGGAGCGTATTTATTGGGAAAGTCAACCGACCATGCTTCCGAGGATGTTCTAGGAGAATCGACCTGCGTTTGCTGCCAAGAGAAAGGGCGTTGGATACAAGTCTGCCCAAAGAGCCTAAAGAGTCCAGAACATGGGAGAGTTAAAGTGTATGGCTGCGCTTCAGGCAAAATCCACTATCTAACTCGATTAAGTTCCTATTCGTTGATTCATGATGCATAATGTGATAAGATTACATTTGAATGTTTTGTAGGATCGATGAAAGGAGAGGAAGCTTGATGAAATAGAGCAAGATGAGTCTAATCACGAAGAAATGGATCTCGATCGCATAAATTTGAAGATTAGATTTTGAGCTTAGATAGTTGTGATAGAGTTGTTAGAAATTTTCCTTTTGAAATACATAATTTTCAATTAATTTTGCATTGTAAGGACAAATGTTTTCCGCTGCTTTTATAAATAAAATAAATTTTGGTTTGACTTATTTATTTATTTGTTTATTCCCTTGCAATGAAATCGTTATGAAAATTGATATTTGCATATTTCTACAACGAATGGATATGATTCTTATTTATGGAAATGTCGAGAATTTACCAAATAGGGAGAGTTTCTCATCGCCCAAATTTCAATTGGACAGAAATTTGGAATCACGCAACTTGGTTGCATGATGAATGAGAAATTTCATATTTGGAAATTAGACTAATTCATTGACAATGTGTCAAGTGAAGGACTAGGAGATCGAGTACACAAAGTTGCGTGTTGATCAAGTCCACCATAAGAGTAACAAAGATATTCGTCATGATTTACTAAAGGTTTAGTAAATATTATTATACTTATAAGATTAAGTGTAATTCGAAATTGATTAAAAAGGTTTAAATCAATAGCAAAACGAATAAGAAGAATCAAGTAGGCAGAAAGA